CAAGGACCTCTGACCTAGATGTCAGAAGGCCATTTGGTGCAGGGGAGCTTAGTGGGCCAACTAGTGACGTCTATGGAAAACTACTGGGAGGAAGGCTCTGGGGGGAAGAAGGCCTTGAAACTAAGATAAAAGCTAGTTCAGTCTGTCTGGGGGTGTGTCACTCTTCTGCACAGGGTAACAACTGTGTATTAGACTGCTCCTATTCTTGCAAGAATAAATACTTCTATTTTATATAATTTGACTCTGAGTGTCTCTTACGCAGTGATGTTTGTTTGAGATGAATTTTTGCCACAACAGCACTTTGTGCTGAGAGGAGCTTAATAGGCCGAGACTGCTCCCAGCAGTCTCAGGAACATTAGAGTGGTGAGGAAGAAACCTCTGGAACGCCGCTGAATGGTTTATTACTTAGTTTTCTTGAAAGCGGAGCGTCCAGAAGAACAGACATAATTATATCTTAATTTCCCTTTATCTTTATATCAGAAAAAACTTATATATATATACATATATATCACTCTGCGGCCACCAGCAGGAAACAACCGAACTGGCAGCGCTGCGACCCTCCTCAGAGAGTCGCCCCTCACATTCATCCATGTCCTTATATACTTTACCCACCAGCGCTGCCTAATAAAAATTTATTCATTATTTAAGATGGCTGGTGGGTAACGTCGGGGTTAATAACGATGACGCCGACTCGGGAGAGAGAAAGCTCGCAAGCGTCTCTTTAACCCGAGGCACTGTCATACTATGATACTTAATACCCAAACATTACTATTTAGACATCTGGGGATTAAACACATAAAATACAAACCGGTTTATTCCACGATCTCGACACCTCAGTGTGGAGATAGGGAAAAAACCGCAGTCCCCGACGAGGAGGCTGAGATACAGAGTTTTCCTGTTTTAAGATAGTTCATCTAACAAACTCTTCTTTATTTTCAATCTCATAATGTTCAGCTGGCCAGTAAATATTTAACTGGCAACAGCACTAGATAAAACCTCCTTTTTTTAAAAAGCTCCTCTTTATTCAGCAGAGTTATGAGCTGACTTATTTATTCATTGAAAACTCAAACATCTGCCTTTTTCTAAAGATTTGTATTTGTTTTGTTCTCTTTCTTTTTAAACAAAACACTAACGATACCAATTCCTCGGAACTGGAAATCGCAGCACACTAGATCTGGCATGTGAAAGCTGAGAAAGGGCGGAGCCCGTCCCAACCCCCGCTGTCAGATCCGTTTGCGAACCCCGAAATGCGAGCCGTCTCCGTGCCTCGGCAACAGAGAGACCCGCGCGGGGAACGCGAACCGAACCGTCCTCCTCGAAGAACGCCCGGCGGGAGCGGAGCGTCCTCACGGACAGCTTCTCGCAATGCTCACAGTCAGCTCCCTCGAGAACTGACTGTTGGCATGCTCCACTCCCAAACAGCAACAAAAAGCTGATGTGTGTCCCCACCCGTGATGTAATGAGGGCAGGGAACAACACAACGTCTATAATCTTGCTTGCTCGCCATAATGATAGATAGTGATATATATTGGGCTTGACAAATAGACAAGGACAGAATCACAGAGAGCGCTTGCTGAAGACAACAGAAGCTGTCGCGGTCTGTTTTCAGGGGTGCTTTATAGTTTCCTGGTCTATGACGTCACCTATGACGTATCGGGCTTCCATTGGACTGATTTTACACGTGCTTCATGACGCAATCACGCAGAGCGTTCCCACCGCGTCTCAAACGCAGCTCGAGTTCCCTTGAAAGGGAACAGAATGTTTTCTTTTGTGTTTCATATAAAACAGAACATCAATGACTCAGTGACAGAATTTCATTTTTGGGTGAATTATTCTTTTAAGAATTGTAGTAGCAATCATAATATTAGTCTATTTTTTCTAAGGCATGTTTATAAAAGCTACTTAAATCATTTAAAGCTGCAGTCCGCGGTTTTTCCTCTTTGTCGCCATCTCTGTTCGAAATCTGCAATTGCAGTCATTCGCGGAATTATCAACTTTACGTGAGTTGTACTTCGACACCGCACAGTGCGGATGCACACAATGTTTGAGGAGACTGTGAGGCTGTCAGTCACTGCGCCGGTGTGGATACTCTTACTGGCATTCAGAATCACAGAATATTCTTTTTGGAAGTATGACCAACATAATAATTTTCACCGGAAAATGACATCTGAACAAGTAAGTAACATCCACTTTTGTTCTGGTTCTGACATTGCAGTAAATCGCGCTGATTAAATCTAAACATCGCTTATCACGCAAAACCTTGCAAATTATACTTTGTTCTCAAATTGTTAATGTTAACAACGTCATCATTGCATGACTACATGTATTGTCCTTCAGATATGTATCCTTGTTTTCGCATGGGTCCGGTTGCTGTCTCTTTTTTTCTGTAGCCACTCCGAAGTCCAAACGAAGTCTTTTGCATTTTACAACGAGTGAATCTGTTGTCACTGGTGATTGTCGTTTGAACCTTTCTGGATCCGCCATCAAATTGATAAGTTTAATTATATCAAGTGCTGTGAGAAAAGGCTATAAATCTCCACTTCCAGCATCCTCACACGCAATGTAGCCTACTAGCCGAGACTCCTCCTTTATGTGTACAGATGTGACATAATGACGCAGAGCGCAAAGACATGCTCGAATCTCCCGCGGAAATCCACAAGAAGTACCACTGGAATTAAAAACATTATTACAAGCTTACCGTTTTGAATCGAGCTATGGCAAGCAGATAGTGTTGAACACTGGCTGGTTATGTATTTTCTCAAATATGTATTTTGGATCATTTTTAACTCAAAAAAAGCTACGGACTGCAGCTTTAAGTAATACATTTAACTAAGGCCTACTCTGCTTAGTCTAAGCCCTGTCCGTGAAACCAGGCTTTTGCCTGCTAATCTTAGTTTTGTTGTTTGTCATTTTATGTTTATGCCCCAAGCTCAAAGGTCTCAAAGGCAGCCCAGCAAGCAAGTATTGTGTTATAAAGTTTTTTGGCGTATAGGCCCCATCCGTAGCTCGCAATCCGAGGGTAACGGAATCTGCATTTCCTGCCTGAAGACGAAGGCAGGGGCGCAGCCGATCCCCTGGGAGGTATGGGGAGGGACCATCCTGATGGTGGGGAGGATGGAGGTGAATGTTGGCGTCAGCATCTGCGAACTCAGACATGTGTAAGTTCTGATCTTTTTCTACAAGTATTAGAACACGATTGGTAAGATGTGAAGGTAATAAGTGACGTAACAATTGAGTCTTCCTGGCAGAACTTACGCTAAAGCTTTCATTTATCACTACCTTTAACTGTTGTACTGCCATCTACAGTACTGTGCAAAAGTATTAGGCACATTAGTATTTTCACATAAAAAAAAAACAATGTTTTTAAGCCAGTTATTTATATATTTTGCTGTAGTGTCAGATATAAATATTAGTATTATAATACATACATCCAAATATGAACAAGGAGTCAACATGACAAAAGTTGATATTCTCCACACAGAGATCTTATCTCACCATTCTTGAGTCTGTCTGTGATCTCAAAACTGAGACAGACTAAATCCAGAAGAACTGCGGCAATGTTTCCAAGACACTTGAAGAAACCTCCCTGCAAAGCTACCTGAAAAACTATGTGCAAGTGTACCTAAAGGCTGTTTTAAACACAAAGGGTGGTCACACCAAGTGTTGATATGATAAGTTTATTGATAAATAAAATCTATTTATGACATTATTTTTGAAAGCATCATCAAGCAAGTGCGTAAAACTTTTCACAGTACTGTAGCTTTGAAGGAAGGTTTCTTCAAGCGTCTTGGTGACGTTGCTGCAGATCTGATTTAGTCTGTCTCAGTTTTTTTCTGTTTCTTCAAGTAACCACAGACAGACTCAATGATGGTGAGATCAGATCTCCATGTGGATCATACAGACTTTTGTCAGAGTCCTTGTGCATACAAAAAACTCACTGGATTATAACAATTAATGGCAAAATAAATGTTTGGAAATGTAAATTGATATTTCCTATAGCAAAGGATATAACTAGCTGGCTTAAACCCAATTTTTAGTGTAAAAATACTAACATGCCTACAACTTGCACAGTACTGTAGATGTCATGGTATGAAATATTAAATTAATATTTTACTTCTGTAAGTACAAAGAAATGCATGTTTATACAGAGAGGTTTGTTCACAGTCCCTCATACTGATCTGAAGATAACGGGGGATTATCTGTGTAATTACAAGAGGCACCAGATGAACTAGTGTACGGAACTGAGCACTAATGAATTAGATTGATTCAGCTGCTCTTATCTCTCAGATTTACATGCACACAAATAAATAAAACACATAAACAGAAACAACTGACAACTGAATTACAAATGAGTTGCTTTATCATAAATCACTTCCGTGATTCACCGTAGACCAACTGATATCTTGAGGCACTGACATCCATTTGCTGAAAATGTTCTCACTCATGAGTCATTCAGTAAGTCAGCTTCTATCTAAATCATGCACTTTATACAAGTGAAAATATCACCTCCAGTCTTTGAATGAAGTGCAAATAATTGTCATTAGTGTTACGCACCCTTAGACACAAAGTCTTTAAAGAGGCAACATTGAGGTCGTGATCAGAAGGTGGTGTAATTAAAATGGCAAGAGACGACACAACATAGTATTGTGAAAAAATAAAGTACGGTTTATTGTACTTGTGAAATGTTAATGCAAAAGATTAATAACAATAATAATACTACTAATAATGATAATAATACTTATTGTGGACACAAAGAAAAATAAACCAAAATATACAGATTGAGAGTTCAAAGTAAATAACCCAAGAGAATAAGGACATAAATAGTGAAGCCAAATGAAAGAAAAGAACAAAACAAACTCCGGTTATCTAATCCCAACCTCTTAACTAACTAATAACAAAAGAAAAGAAAAGACAGAATTCTTCAGCGCAAAGCGCCCTCTCTAACTGCTCTAACTAATAACAAAAACATACAAGGGTGGCGTTCACTTCCTTACCTGGGGTGTATTCCAGAAAGCAGGTTATGTGACATAACCGGGTATGTTTAAGAGTAAGTAAGCGGATAACCTCAACTTTCGGTTCCAAATACAGAGGTAACTTTCAGGGTATGTTAGTAGTCATAGCAACTCACTCTCTGAACTTAACCTGCTCCGGAGCAGGTTATGTTCCAGAGTTAGTTTGTTTCAGAGAGGTGACGGAGCATGGCGTGCCCCTTTGAAGACGATCCAGTGGATGTGGAAGCACAGATAATACGAAATCTTTTCCGCCGTGAGAGGGTGATACGACCACGTATCGATGTGTTTTCGTATCCAAATGAATATTTGCGGGAGCGTTACCGTTTTTCAAAAGAATCGTTAATTTATTTAACGAAGATTTTGAAACCATACATTGCAAACGTGACACATCGCGGATTAGCGCTTAACACGGAGCACATTTTGTGCATTGCCCTCCGCTTTTTTGCGACGGGGAGTTTTTTGTATACAGTAGGCGATGCAGAGCATGTGGGAAAGGCAACTGTGTGTAGGGCTGTTCGTAGAGTATGCATTGCACTCAAACGGTTCCTTCACACTTTTGTACAGTTCCCTGGCCATAAACCCCCGAGGGTCATTAAAGAGGAATTCCACAGAGTGGCGGGTTTGTCCGTTCTATGATATGACAGACCATTTACTTAATCTACCCATACTGTATACAGTCACAATCATTTAAAATGTTTCTAATTATATAACTTTCAATTTCAGGGTTCCCAAATGCGATTGGGTGCATTGATGGAACCCACATTCCCATTAAAGCTCCTTCAGTCAATGAAGGAGACTATGTTAATAGGAAGTCGATCCATAGCATCAATGTGCAGGTGACAATAGATTTTTTTGGGTGCTAAATGTTTGGGTGTTTAAACCATTAAATCACCCTCATTACTGGTCCCCACTAACTAGGTAATATGTGATGCAACCCACCTCATCACTAATGTTGAAGCCAAATGGCCAGGGTCTGTACATGATGCCAGAATGTTTAGGGAGTCATCATTGTGCCACAAATTTCAACAGGGTATGTTTTGCCTTACACAATGTTTTTTTTTTATTTTATGTTTTTTTATGCAATTATACTTTAACTACCTTTATAGGACACTTCAATGGTTACTTGCTGGGGGACAGAGGGTTGTCTGCCCTATATGATGACACCCTACCCTGAACCTGAGCCTGGACCACAGGCACAATTCAACCTGGCCCACAGCAGAACACGGGTCAAGGTGGAAATGACCATAGGCATCCTGAAGGCAAGGTTTCAGTGCCTGCGTGGGCTCAGGGTCAGCCCAGAAAGGTCATGTGACATCATAGCTGCTTGTGTTGTTCTTCACAACATTGCCACACTGAGAGGTGAGAGGGCCCCCCTTTCACTTGATGAAGATGGCCAAGAGGAACCCCCAGTGAACCCAGTAGAACAAAGAGATGGCAGGGTGGTACGAGACATGATTTGCCAAAATCACTTTAATTAAAACCAGTTAACAGTCAAGTGTTGTTCATTGTTTCTTTATTTCCTGTAACAAAAGACATTTGTATTTATTCCTTTAGATTTCATTCAACAACAAATGACAGATTAATGTTCACATGCTGTTTCCCACCTTAAGCTGGTGCTCCAGCAATTCAATTTCAAGTCTGGCCTTTTTTAGGTTAAGCATTTTCTCCTCCATTTGAAGCTGTATAAGGTCCATCTCCATGTCACTTTTTCTGATTTTCTTTTGAAGGTGGACCTTATACAGCTCTTTGGCAGGCAACTAGAAAGACAGAATAATTAAACATGACTGAACAAGTCTGTAATACAAACACAGACCAAATATTTAAATGAGGAAGGAGAACTGCAGAACATTTCTTACACTGCTAAGATTCTGTGTGGAGGTAGATGGACCCTCAGCTGTATTAAAATCTCCTGCCATATTCTGTAAAATGACAATGACAATTTATTTATTCTCTTATGTAAAAAAGGGGGAATGCATTCTATGCATCATACCTCTATGGGCCTCCCCACATTTTCTGTTTCTGTCACAGCAGAAGTGGTGTCTTCATCGTCATCCTACAGTGAAAATAAGGAAGGATGCTTGGTCTAGCTAGCAAACAGAAACCTAAAGACAATAATCACTTACAACAGTGAGAGAGTGTGGTGTTGCAGGAGGATCCAACAATACAATGTGGCCATCAGCAACTGCAAGATAATTAAACCAATAAGATAATCAGGCATTTTCAATACTCAATATTCTTAAACAAATACAACTAATAAAGAAGGACATTAGGAACATCTAAGAGAACTAGTAATAAGATTACAGTATACAGCATATGCAAAGCAGCATGCACACTGCACAAGTGAATCAATGACTGTAAAATGCATTCAAAATGCCTTTTTAAAATGGTGACAGTGTTGATGATTTTCAATATTAAAATACTGACAAAAACAGTGAAAACATCAATAAATCATAAGTATTAATATGGTACACCTACATTTTACTAAGCCACTTGTCTTGGTAGCTGAGTCTGACGAACTGCCCTTTATTAAGGGACAGTGCCAGCTCCTCAGCTGGGGTGAGGGGAGGTGGAGGGGGAGGTGGAGGTGGAGGTGGAGGTGGACCCCCACCTGTTTTACGGGCCTCAGCCTTCTTTCTATTGGCTACATAGAAAACTAAATTAAATAAAATACTAAATTACATGGGGTCAGTAACAAGTTTAGCAAGTTTAGAAAATATTACCTTGCTGGAGAATGTTTTTGTGTTTCATTTTGACTTGACTCACACTTCTTCTGGTTCCAGAAGGATTACACCTAATAAGAAGAAGAAGCTAACATATAACAAGCCAATTATGTGCATTACTACTGTAATATTAAGAAATGTATGGAGGCCAACAAGTAAATAGGCTACTTGTCTATTTTTACATGCCCCAAAGAATTTTTTGCCTAATGAAAGGGGAAAATAGCCCATTTATAATTTTCTAAACTCACGCATTTACTCTGTCCTTTATTTTTTGCCAAGCCAACTCTCTTTCTTTTGCTGATGAAGCAGTATTGCTTTTTTTAGTTATAATGGGCTTATAGTCTTCATAAGCAAGCATTAAAACCTCCAACTCAGTTTCACCGAAGTATGTAGCTCGCTTTTTTTCTCCCTTAGTTTCCATGGTGACTCCCGAAATCGGCGATCCATTGAAAATGTCTTTATGTACTCGCCGTGCGCGCGCATTAACTCTAGGTTACCAATAGGAGGTTGATTAAACTAACTCCTCACAGGTGTTTTGGAACCGACATACCCAGAGTAAGCAAGTTTGGGGTTAATCAACCAAGAGTTCAAGGTTTATCTGACGGTAAGTTAACCTTGCTTTCTGGAATACACCACTGGTGTTTGTATACATCGAGTTTGCTAAGTGTTGCTTTGTGTACGTCACGTGACATATTACCTGTCCGAATTTCTCTTGGTAACCTCAAAACACGCCATCATGGCAGAACACATTACTCTTGGCAATCTCAGAACACGCCGTCATGACAGAACATATTACACTTGGTAACCTCAAAACATGCCGTCATGGCCGAAAGAAAAAACAACAGTCTGTAACAGAAAATAACAAACACAAAAAGCGACAAGCAGAGCGACAGAAAGAAACAAGCTGACATGCGTTCTTCTCAGCTTCCTTTTAAACTCGCGTGGTAAACTTGATAGGTTGCGGGAGGAAAGATGATGTCACAACGTAGATGATGATTGCCATCTCTCTCAGCCAACAGCGGGCGAGTGGTGACGCAAGCCTAAGAATGTGATAGACAGTATAGAGAAAGAGAAACAAAAGAAAACACATATGCGCGAGACCACAGGGACGTAACATTAGCAATGAGTTAAAAGCATTAATGTACTGAATTAGTAATGATTCCGTCTAACATCTTATCATTCTTCCTTCAACTCCCATTGATTACCAAAATATCACATAATCATAACTTGTCATAACATGAAAGTGCTCTGACAGACTGTCATTTATTGTCTTTTAAAATGTTGGAATCAGAGGATGTGGAGATTTAATCAAATAATGCATCTTCAATTTATTTTTACATCCTCAGTCCTCCCATGACCCATGCATCAATCCTCAAAGCAATCTCTCTACACTTGTTTCTGTATCTTTTAAATTGATACATCGAAGCAGCACTTTTTTTCTTTTGTAAAGATATCCGTTGCTGTCCTCATATTTCCATATTTTCAATTTTCACCTCACCCATGGTCAGAAGTTACCAAAACCGACAAACACAATGCATCTCTGACATGTACTCTGAGAAAGTGATATGGCGCTAGTGATCGCACACTTTTGAATCCATCGCCTCTGTCTCACCCCTGGGGATTGAAACAACTCCTACCTATCGAAATGGATCTTGGTATGAGATAAAATGCTCAGTGAAAGATATGAGTGTCGGAGTGTGTGTACATGTGCCTTTGTGTATATGTGCAAGTGTGAATGATGAAAATGTGTGCTCTTAATTGCTCATGCTGAAATTCAGCAGCCAACCTCCACAAAATCATCTCCTTTTTAAAAATCTTTAGATTAGTATGTTTAAGGGTAAGCAGATACCATCAACTTTGAGTTCCAAAAATGGAGGTAAACTCACCCTGGTTCTTATACAGTCATGTTATCTTTGCAAGCACACTTGTTATTACGTTTAATCAGTCTTTATTTTAATTATGTAATTAGCATCAAACAAACAATATAGTTTGTATTCACAGTGATTAAGGATTATTGAATGAAAAGACTGAACAATGATTGCACAGCCACCAAATAGCTTTTAATAGCAATTAAGAATGTCTTGTGTGTTATGCGTGAACATCCTCTGGGGGTTGGCTGAATTTACTCCCGCAAACGTTTTTGGATCCATCATTCCTCGAGGAAGCAAGGTTTTGGTTAATCAACCATGAGTTCAGGGTATGTTTGATGATAAGATAACCTTGCTTTCTGGTGCAAATTTGTCTGATAAGATTTCGAGGTGAGGGACGTTTTGAGTGCAATGCTTGTTGTTATTTTAGTCAAGTACCTGCATAATTGTGGATGAGCATGCTTCACATGATCTGTGTCAAAATATTTTATTTGGTCTTGAAAATATATGTACATTGATGGGCAAATTTTTTCACTGTTGTCTGGGAGATTAGAGTTTAAGGCCTGTTCACCCCAAGACGTATGTGCTTTTGGTAGTGCAATTATGGTGTTCGTTTTTTTTTTTGTTCTTTGACGGTGTTCTAGTCTCTTTCCCAAAATATTTCGAAGAAAATCAGTAAAAAATTAAGATTTACACTTTTAGTCACATGCCTAGAGCTGCTGCTGTTACATTAAAGTACAACTTGGTGGTGCTCACTATTTAGTTAAGCGACAGTAAATAGCAGAGAAAGAATCCAGACCTTTTGTATTTGGCATTGTTAGTTTGACAAAAATCTGCTGTTTTGAAAACATGTAAATACGCTTTGACCATTTTTCTGTGACTAGTGGGAGTCAGAAAGGGAATGTTGTGCATTGCTTTGTGTGCAAGGGTAATCTGGGTATTTCTGCTCTAGTAGCACTACCTACTATCACAGTGTGACTTTGACATTTAATTTAGCCCATTTTCCATTTTTTATGCATTGGTCTGAATAGACAATGCATAAAAAAATGCGTGACAAAACCGGACTGAATTTTCGTGCCTAACATTCGTGTGAGGTGTGAACTGGCCTTGACACTATACATATAATGTGTTGCTTGTTTACAAATAAACAGCTCAGAAAACGTTTTTTTTTACCCATTTATTTTGGACTGTATTTGGTAATGACCACTTGTGATTTGATCATTCAAAATGGATATGAATACAAGCTATAAGTGAAGAGAAAAACATTTGCTTGAATTGCATTTGTTGTCCCGGGTCATTCTATGGCCATTTGCAGTTTTAAATTATTTCGTCTTTCCGCTTTCTTGCATTTTCTCAGGCACTCTGCCTTGTTCTCACAGGCCCACTTTCATTATAAGCCTCTTTGACTGATATTTGCTTTTGGTCTGACTTTAAGCATGCTGACTGAGCATCTGATTCCTGTGATTACTCCTCAAGTTGTTTGGCGAAGTAACAGCCTACAGCTGATGATAGCCACAAGTTCCGCCCACCCCATTCTGGGGTTAATTTGCTAGATTATGGGCTTCTCTCTCCATTGAAGTGGATCTGTCATGGGACTCAGAAAGATATACTATTTTTGTCCTCAAGATTGCTATAATCAGAGCAAAGTCACAGTTTCAGAGTTCATTAGTGTAAAGACGTGATGGGGGTAAGTTTGCATATAGCAAAGATTTGCTTCTTGCAAAGATTGTTGCTTCTTGATGTGTCGCACATAAAGAGGGATTATGTTCAAATGGCAAAGACATAACTGATAATCTTCTTAGAGCTGCACTGAGATTTTCCTATCTGTTAGAATAGTTTAATTTCTTTGAACCTGGTGCATGTGTGGCTTTCATCTAATTAGGAAGAATCAACATGGCTTCTATTCA